TAGACCAGGCGAGGTAGTTAACATCTCATAGCCACCGTGATGACGATGAGAGAGAGAGACACGCAAACTCCAAATGTACAGCAGGCGTCAGTGTCGGGGTCGGACCCACGACCTCCTGTAGACCAGGCGAGTGAGTCAACATCGTGGTCGAGTCCCGGGGAGACGTTCAAGGGAGGCTCCTGCCACTTTCTTTCCCGCACCTCCGATCAGCGCGGTTGGCTACATAACGTCGCGGAAGAAGTTCAACACACGAATGTACCCGTTCCGTTCGTGGAACCCCCCACGATTACGATTCGTGATTTATTTATGTTTTTTTTGGGGGGGGGGGGCAAGGGGGTGGGGTCACATCGCCGCCTTCAGTGAAGTGTGTTGTCAACCCCTCCTCAACCCGGCACAATCGATGCAGATAATCGCCACCGGCGATGTTGCCCACGGCTCCCACGTTAGCACACTGCACCGGATGCTCACTTTAGGCCGAATCGACCAAGGGGAGGAGTTGGTGGCCGTGAGCAGGGAACCCAACTCGGGCCCACCCGGCTCGCAGCGCTGTGCGCTAACCGCCGCGCCACCGCTCCCCCAAGTGTCACCGCCCGACACACGAATAGCACACGTGTGGACATACACACACGTGTGGACATACACACACGTGTGGACATACACACACGTGTGGACATACACACACGTGTGGACATACACACACGTGTGGACATACACACACGTGTGGACATACACACACGTGTGGACACGCGTGTGTGAGTGCAAATTGAAAGGGCTCGGTCAACAAGCACTGCCGCGTCACCCGTTCAGACAGTTGCCCTTCGGGAATTGCATTGTGGGACGTTGTAAACATGGAAGCTGCCGTCAGCTGGATGCTGATTGGTCGGCTGCCGTCTCCCAGCAGCCCGTGCTGACCCACAGACTCACAGAGAGACCCATAGACTCACACAGAGACCCATAGACTCACACAGAGACCCATAGACTCACAGAAAGACCCATAGACTCACACAGAGACCCATAGACTCACAGAGAGACCCATAGACTCACACAGAGACCCATAGACTCACAGAGAGACCCATAGACTCACACAGAGACCCATAGACTCACACAGAGACCCATAGACTCACAGAAAGACCCATAGACTCACACAGAGACCCATAGACTCACAGAGAGACCCATAGACTCACACAGAGACCCATAGACTCACACAGAGACCCATAGACTCACAGAAAGACCCATAGACTCACACAGAGACCCATAGACTCACAGAGAGACCCATAGACTCACACAGAGACCCATAGACTCACAGAGAGACCCATAGACTCATACAGAGACCCATAGACTCACACAGAGACCCATAAACTCACAGAAAGACCCATAGACTCACACAGAGACCCATAGACTCACACAGAGACCCATAGACTCACAGAAAGACCCATAGACTCACACAGAGACCCATAGACTCACAGAGAGACCCATAGACTCACACAGAGACCCATGGACTCACACAGAGACCCATAGACTCACAGAAAGACCCATAGACTCACAGAGAGACCCATAGACTCACAAAGAGACCCATAGACTCACACAGAAACCCATAGACTCACAGAAAAATCCATAGACTCACAGAGAGACCCATAGACTCACAGAGAGACCCATAGACTCACAGAAAGACCCACAGACTCACACAGAGACCCATAGAATTACATAGAGACCCATAGACTCACAGAAAGACCCATAGACTCACAGAGAGACCCACAGAATCACACAGAGACACAGACTCAGAGAGACCCACAGACTCACAGAGAGACCCACAGACAGACCCACAGACTCACACCTAGACCCACAGACTCACACCTAGACCCACAGACTCACACCTATACCCACAGACTCACACCTAGCCCCACAGACTCACACAGAGACCCACAGACTCACACCTAGATGCACAGACTCACACAGAGACCCACAGACTCACACAGAGATGCATAGACTCGCTCAGAGACCCATAGACTCACACAGAGACCCACAGACTCAGAGAGTCCCCCACAGACTCACAGAGAGACCCACAGACAGACCCACAGACTCACACCTAGACCCACAGACTCACACCTAGACCCACAGACTCACACCTAGACCCACAGACTCACACCTAGACCCACAGACTCACACAGAGACCCACAGACTCACACCTAGACCCACAGACTCACACACAGACCCACAGACTCACACCTAGACCCACAGACTCACACAGAGACCTATAGACCCACACAGAGACCCACAGACTCACACCTAGACCCACAGACTCACACAGAGACCCATAGACTCACACAGAGACCCACAGACTCACACAGAGACCCATAGACTCACACAGAGACCCACAGACTCACACAGAGACCCACAGACTCACACAGAGACCCACAGTCTCACACCTAGACCCACAGACTCACACAGAGACCCATAGACCCACAGACTCACAGAGAGACCCACAGACTCACACAGAGACCCACAGACTCACACCTAGACCCACAGACTCACACCTATACTCACAGACGCACACCTATAACCATAGACTCACAGAGAGACCTATAGACCCACACAGAGACCCACAGACTCACACCTAGACCCACAGACTCACACAGAGGCCCAGAGACTCACAGACAGACCCACAGACTCACAGACACACCCACAGACTTACACCTAGACCCACAGACTCACACAGAGACCCATAGACCCACAGACAGACCCACAGACTCACACAGAGACCCATAGACCCACAGACTCACAGAGAGACCCACAGACTCACACAGAGACCCACAGACTCACACAGAGACCCATAGACCAACAGACTCACACCTAGACCCACAGACTCACACAAAGACCCATAGACCCACAGACTCACACCTAGACCCACATACTCACACAGAGACCCATAGACCCACAGACTCACAGAGAGACCCACAGACTCACACAGAGACCCACAGACTCACACAGAGACCCATAGACCCACAGACTCACACCTAGACCCACAGACTCACACAGAGACCCATAGACCCACAGACTCACACCTAGACACACAGACTCACACAGAGACCCATAGACCCACAGACTCACACAGAGACCCACAGACTCACACAGAGACCCACAGACTCACACTGAGACCCACAGACTCACACAGAGACCCATAGACCCACAGACTCACACCTAGACCCACAGACTCACACAGAGACCCATAGACCCACAGACTCACACAGAGACCCACAGACTCACACAGAGACCCATAGACCCACAGACTCACACCTAGACCCACAGACTCACACAGAGACCCATAGACCCACAGACTCACACAGAGACCCACAGACTCACACAGAGACCCACAGACTCACACAGAGACCCATAGACCCACAGACTCACACCTAGACCCACAGACTCACACAGAGACCCATAGACCCACAGACTCACACAGAGACCCACAGACTCACACAGAGACCCACAGACTCACACAGAGACCCACAGACTCACAAAGAGACCCATAGACCCACAGACTCACACCTAGACCCACAGACTCACACAGAGACCCATAGACCCACAGACTCACACCTAGACCCACAGACTCACACAGAGACCCATAGACCCACAGACTCACACCTAGACCCACAGACTCACACAGAGACCCATAGACCCACAGACTCACACCTATACCCACAGACTCACACCTAGACCCACAGACTCACAGAGAGACCCACAGACTCACACAGAGACCCACAGACTCACACCTAGACCCACAGACTCACACCTATACCCACAGACGCACACCTATAACCATAGACTCACAGAGAGACCTATAGACCCACACAGAGACCCACATACTCACACCTAGACCCACAGACTCACACAGAGACCCAGAGACTCACAGACAGACCCACAGACTCACAGACAGACCCACAGACTCACACCTAGACCCACAGACTCACACAGAGACCCATAGACCCACAGACAGACCCACAGACTCACACAGAGACCCATAGACCCACACAGAGACCCACAGACTCACACCTAGACCCACAGACTCACACAGAGACCCATAGACCCACAGACTCACAGAGAGTACCACAGACTCACACAGAGACCCACAGACTCACACAGAGACCCATAGACCCACAGACTCACACCTAGACCCACAGACTCACACAGAGACCCATAGACCCACAGACTCACACCTAGACCCACAGACTCACACAGAGACCCATAGACCCACAGACTCACACAGAGACCCATAGACCCACAGACTCACACCTAGACCCACAGACTCACACAGAGACCCATAGACCCACAGACTCACAGAGAGACCCACAGACTCACACAGAGACCCACAGACTCACACAGAGACCCATAGACCCACAGACTCACACCTAGACCCACAGACTCACACAGAGACCCATAGACCCACAGACTCACACCTAGACCCAAAGACTCACACAGAGACCCATAGACCCACAGACTCACACAGAGACCCACAGACTCACACAGAGACCCACAGACTCACACAGAGACCCACAGACTCACATAGACTCACACAGAGACCCACAGACTCACACAGAGACCCATAGACCCACAGACTCACACAGAGACCCACAGACTCACATAGACTCACACAGAGACCCACAGCCTCACAGAGAGACACACAGACTCACACAGAGACCCACAGACTCACACAGAGACCCACAGACTCACACAGAGACCCACAGACTCACAGAGAGGCACACAGACTCACAGAGAGACCTGCAGACTCACAGAGAGACCCGCAGACTCACAGAGAGACCCACAGACCCACATTCCATCATCCACACGAGGGTTGCCACCTGTGCTGCCTGGTGCGGCTTTTCAGCGCCAGTTGCCTTCACAGTTCGGTGGGGGGGCGGGAGGGGGTGCGGTGGTGTGGGGGGTCAAGTCCCTGACGAGGGGGGGGGGGTCACGGGCCCCCCCGCGGTGCGGCCGCTGCCGCTGCTGGAGGAAGGCGACGATCCGTGGGGGCAGGGGGAGGCAGGCCGCGAGGCCGGGGGCCGCCAGCTGGGAGCGCACCAGGGAGCGGCACAGCTGGGTCAGCGGCGCGGGGGCTGCGGGGCCACACAGGTAAAGGTCCCCCGTGTAGCCCACGCAGAGCTGCTGCGTTGGGGGGGTGGGGGCAAGTGCCACCTACCCCCCTTGCCCCCCCGTACCCCCCCCCACAACCCATGCCCCCACAGTTCACTCCCTCATCTCAGGGCCCTCCCAACCCTATCACTGCCCCCCCCCCACCTACCCCCCTTGCCCCCCCGTGCCCCCCCCCAACCCATGCCCCCACAGTTCACTCCCTCATCTCAGGGCCCCCCCAACCCTATCACTGCCCCCCCCACCTACCCCCCTTGCCCCCCCGTGCCCCCCCCAACCCATGCCCCCACAGTTCACTCCCTCATCTCAGGGCCCCCCCAACCCTATCACTGCCCCCCCCCCACCGTCCCCACAATGCTCCCCCGTGGCTGCCCCCACCCCCCCCCCGTGCCCCCCCCCCCCCGTACCGTCCCTGCTGCGCCTCAGCAGCGCCGCGTGCTCCGGGCTGCCGGGGGTCGCGAGGTCGAGCGGCCGCCTGCCCTCGCCGTCGCGAGCGTCCGGGTCCGCGCCGAACTCCAGCAGCAGGGACGTCAGGTCGTCGTCGTCGTCCGGCCGGGGGGGGCCCCGCGGGGTGCTGCCGGGGGGCGGTGGCCCCGGGGGGGCCGGCCGGGGGGGCACCGCGTCCCGGGGGGCCGGAGGCGGCGGTGGAGTGGAGCGGGAGGCGGTGGAGTGGAGCGGAGTTCGTGCTCCGTCGCCCGCGTCCGGGTTCGCGCCTGGGGCGCGGGGCGAGAAACCGCTCATTGTCATCGGCGACGTCATCGGCGACGTCATCGGCGACATCATCAGTAGTAGCAGCAGCAGCAGCAGCATCAGCAACATCAGCAGCAGTAGCAGCAGCATCAGCAACATCAGCAGCATCAGCAGCAGTAGCAGCAACATCATCAGCAGCAGTAGCAGCAGCATGAGCAACATCAGCAACATCAGCAGCAGTAGCAGCAACATCATCAGCAGCAGTAGCAGCAGCATCAGCAACATCAGCACCATCGTCACCATCGTCATCATGAGCAGCAGCGTCACCCCCCCCCCCCCCCCGAGTCATCCCACGAATCGCCTCGTGAGCCACCCCGTGAGCCACCCCGTGAGTCCACCCCGTGAGTCTCGTGGCTCACGAAGGTGACTCACTGATTGACAGCGCTGGATGGCACCACACTTGGCGGGCAGTGCCAGCCCCTACAGGACAGGGCGTGGGAGTGCCGGCCGTAGGGACGAGGTTACTCGAGGTCACGGCACTCTGGCTGACCCGGGAGGACACGTGACCGGTTAAGTCTACAAAAGGGGCCCCAAGTGAGGGCTAGGGGTGGTCACGTGGTCGGGGTTCAGATCCTGCTGCCCGAGGATTCTGGAAGGTGGGCGTGGCCAAGGGCCAGGTTGTTGTTGTTCATCCTGAAGCAACATTTCGTCAACGTTCTACGTTCATCGAGTCTCCAACACGTGGACCTGGAACCCGAGCTGTGGTCCCGGTCCGTAGTAGCTACTAACGTTGTAACTAGTGTAGTTAGTCTGGTGACTAGTGTAGTAACTAGTGTAGTAGCTAGTATAGTAGCTAGTGTAGTAACCAGTGTAGTTAGCCTGGTGACTAGTGTAGTAACTAGTGTAGTCACTAGTGTAGTAACTAGTGTAGTAGCTAGTATAGTAGCTAGTGTAGTAACCAGTGTAGTTAGCCTGGTGACTAGTGTAGTAACTAGTGTAGTCACTAGTGTAGTAACTAGTGTAGTAGCTAGTATAGTAGCTAGTGTAGTAACCAGTGTAGTTAGCCTGGTGACTAGTGTAGTAACTAGTGTAGTTACTAGTGTAGTAACTAGTGTAGTAGCTAGTGTAGTAACTAGTGTAGTAGCTAGTGTAGTTACTAGTGTTGTACCTAGTGTAGTAACTAGTGTAGTAACTAGTGTAGCTACTAGTGTAGTAACTAGTGTAGTAACTGGTGTAGTAACTAGTGTAGTAACTAGTGTAGCTACTAGTGTAGTAACTAGTGTAGTAACTGGTGTAGTAACTAGTGTAGTGACTAGTGTAGTAACTGGTGTAGTAACTAGTGTAGTGACTAGTGTAGTAACTAGTGTAGTAACTAGTGTAGTAACTAGTGTAGTAACTGGTGTAGTAACTAGTGTAGTGACTAGTGTAGTAACTAGTGTAGTAACTAGTGTAGTAACTGGTGTAGTAACTAGTGTAGTAACTAGTGTAGTAACTAGTGTAGTAACTGGTGTAGTAACTAGTGTAGTAACTAGTGTAGTAACTGGTGTAGCTACTAGTGTAGTAACTAGTGTAGTAGCTAGTGTAGTAACTAGTGTAGTAACTAGTGTAGTAACTAGTGTAGTAACTAGTGTAGTAACTAGTGTAGTAGCTAGTGTAGTAACTAGTGTAGTAACTGGTGTAGTAACTAGTGTAGTAACTAGTGTAGTAACTAGTGTAGTAACTGGTGTAGTAACTAGTGTAGTAACTAGTGTAGTTAGTCTGGTGGTCACCACCACAGGTTGTTATTCTGCTAAGTGGGAAGTTATCCCGTGTGTTGGAGTGAAATAAATGTGCTGTCTCCTGCGACTCAGTTGAGCTCACTACACACGAGTCACCCCGTGGGTCACCCCGTGGGTCACCCCGTGAGTCACCCCGTGAGTCACCCCGTGGGTCACCCCGTGAGTCACCCCGTGAGTCACCCCGTGAGTGACCCCGTGGGTCACCCCGTGGGTCACCCCGTGAGTCACCCCGTGAGTCACCCCGTGGGTCACCCCCCTGAGTCACCCCGTGAGTCACCCCGTGTGTCACCCCTTGGGTCACCCCCCTGAGTCACCCCGTGAGTCACCCCGTGAGTCACCCCGTGAGTCACCCCGTGAGTCACCCCGTGGGTCACCCCGTGGGTCACCCCCCTGAGTCACCCCGTGGATCACCCCATGAGTCACCCCGTGGGTCACCCCGTGGGTCACCCCGTGAGTCACCCCGTGAGTCACCCCGTGAGTCACCCCCCGAGTGAGCCTCACCGGCCAGCAGGAGTAGCCTGGCACAGCCGAGCCTCCCGGCGTCGCACGCCAGGAGGAGTGGGGGGCCGTGCCCCCCCTCGCTCGAGTCCACTTCCGCGCCGGCGCCCAGCAGCAGCGACACGCAGCCCTCGTGACCTGGGTCACGGGGTCATGGGGTCAGAGGGTCAGAGGGTCAGGGACACACGCAGAGGGACGTGGAGAGACAGGGTCGCAGGGGCACGGGGACACGGTGAGTGTCGCGTGGGGGTGAGAGCAACCCAGCCTCCCCCCCTCAACCCCGAGTCCACCCGTGACCCCGAGTCCACCCGTGACCCCGAGTCCACTCGTGACCCCGAGTCCACACACGACCCCGAGTCCACCCGTGACCCCGAGTCCACCCACGACCCCGAGTCAGCCCGTGACCCCGAGTCCACCCGTGACCCCGAGTCCACCCACGACCCCGAGTCCACCCGTGACCCCGAGTCAGCCCGTGACCCCAAGTCCACCCGTGACCCCGAGTCCACCCACGACCCCGAGTCCACCCGTGACCCAGAGTCCACCCGCGACCCCGAGTCCACCCGTGACCCCGAGTCCACCCACGACCCACCGAGCTGAGCGGCGACGTGCAGGGGGGAGGGGGAGGCGGGGAGGGGGGCCCTGGGGGAGGCGCCCCCACCCAGCAGCAGCTCCAGGCAGGGGGGGCTCCCGGCACGCGCGGCGCACAGCAGCGGCGTGGAGCCCTCCACGTCCACCGCGTCCACCTGGCCCCCACCCACCACGCGGGGGGAGGGGCAGAGGGGCAGAGGGGGGTGGACGTCGTCGTTACCAGCGACGTCAGCAGGAGGAGCAGCAGCGGCAGGGAATGAGTGTCGGTGTCTCCTCGTGTGGGTGAGTGGGTGGGTGGGTGAGTGGGTGAGAGGGTGAGAGGGTGAGTGAGTTAGTGAGTGGGTGAGTGGGTGAGAGGGTGAGAGGGTCAGTGAGTGAGTGGGTGAGAGGGTGAGTGAGTTAGTGAGTGGGTGAGTGGGTGAGAGGGTGAGAGGGTGAGTGAGTGAGTGAGTGGGCGAGAGGGTGAGTGGGTGAGAGGGTGAGTGAGTTAGTGAGTGGGTGAGAGAGTGAGTGGGTGAGAGGGTGAGTGGGTGAGTGAGTTAGTGAGTGGGTGAGTGGGTGGATAAGTGAGTGAGTGGGTGAGAGGGTGAGAGGGTGAGTGAGTTAGTGAGTGGGTGAGTGGGTGGGTGAGTGAGTGAGTGGGTGAGAGGGTGAGAGGGTGAGTGGGTGAGAGGGTGAGTGAGTTAGTGAGTGGGTGAGTGGGTGGATGAGTGAGTTAGTGAGTGGGTGAGAGAGTGAGAGGGTGAGTGGGTCTGTGAGTAGGTAATAAGTGAGTGCGTGCATAAGTGAATGAATGGGGGAGTTAGTAAGTGGGTGGGTGAGTGAGTTAGTGAGTGGGTGAGTGGGTGGATTAGTGAGTTAGTGAGTGGATGAGTGGGTGGGTGAGTGAGTTAGTGAGTGAGTGGGTGGACGAGTGAGTGATTGAGTAGGTGTTGAGTGAGTGGGAATGTGAGTAACTAATACGTGAGTGGGTGCATGAGTGAATGAATGGGTGATTGAGTGGGTGGGTGGATGGGTGAGAGTGTGAGTGAGTTAGTGAGTGGGTGAGTGGGTGGATGAGCGAGTTAGTGAATGGGTGGATGAGTGAGTGGGCATGTGAGTAGGTGATGAGTGAGTAAATGCATGAGTGAACGAATGGGTGAGTGAGTGGGTGAGTTGGGTGGGTGAGTTGGGTGGGTGAGTTGGGTGGGTGGGTGAGTTGGGTGGGTGAGTTGGGTGGGTGAGTTGGGTGGGTAGGTCAGTGGGTGAGCGGCTGATTGAGTGTGTGGGTCAGTGAGTGAGTGGGTGAGCTGGCTGGTTGACTATTTGGATGAGTGAGTGAGCGAGCTGGTGGGTGGGTCAATAAATGAGTGGGTGAGCGAGCGAACAAGTGGGCATGTTGGTGAGTGGGGGGGGTTGTGGCCTGGGGGGGGGGCACTTACCCGGGCCCCCCCTTTGAGCAGCGCCTCCACGCAGCGAGCGTGGCCCCCCAGACAGGCGGCGTGCAGCGGCTCCACCCCACCACGCGTGCGAGCGTCCACGCTCGCCCCCTGCCACCGACGCGCACGCACCAAAGACAAAAGGTCCCCCCCGCCCCCAGGTAGCTTCAACGGGGCCATCGGGGCAAGTGCTGGTTCGGAGCGAGCGGCGTGCGGCACAGAGGCCGGCACCGTGGCGCGTAAAGACGGGGGAGGGGGGGGCGGGGGGGGTGGCCAGCGCCACGCCCGGCCGCCTTTGTCTCCCTGGTGGCGATGTTTTGCACACCGCGCCAGGTGCTCATTTCAAGCTGAGTGGACCTAGGGGAGGCCCAGGACCGATTCACAGCGCAGCGTAGCGCTCACCGTTTCACAGTGACACAGGGCGATACGGAGATGCACACAGACGCACGTACACAGACAAATACACACACACATGCCTTCCCAGCGCTCACCAGCGCTCACCTGCACTCACCTGCACTCACCAGCGCTCACCTGAACTCACCTGAACTCACCTGCGCTCACCTGAACTCACCTGCACTCACCTGTGCTCACCTGCACTCACCTGCGCTCACCTGAACTCACCTGCACTCACCTGTGCTCACCTGCACTCACCTGTGCTCACCTGCACTCACCTGTGCTCACCTGCACTCACCTGCGCTCACCTGAACTCACCTGCACTCACCTGCGCTCACCTGAACTCACCTGCACTCACCTGAACTCACCTGAACTCACCTGCGCTCACCTGCGCTCACCTGAACTCACCTGCACTCACCTGTGCTCACCAGCCCTCACCTGCACTCACCTGAACTCACCTGCACTCACCTGTGCTCAGCAGCCCTCACCTGAACTCACCTGCACTCACCAGCCCTCACCTGAACTCACCTGCTCTCACTTGAACTCACCTGCTCTCACCTGAACTCACCTGCACTCACCTGCACTCACCTGCGCTCACCTGTGCTCACCTGTGCTCACCTGTGCGAGGAGCTGTGTGAGGTTCAGGAGGTGTCCGTGCAGGGCGGCCTCGTGCAGAGGCGTGTAGTCCCAGAATGCACCTGTACACACACGTCATAGCCATCATCACCATCGTCATAGCCATCATCACCATCACCTGCCAACACCAACTCACGCCATTCGCCACCAAGTTACGGTGACGTCACCGCAGCGCCCGTGCCAGGCTAGGTGCACTTTGAGGCGACGTGAAGTGTCGAAGCCTCGCTGGCAAGAGGAGGTCACAGGACAGACTCGGCAGGTGCCATGGGCTGGCTGACTGCGATGACTGCCCGATGCACCACCACCACCACCGCCACCACCACCGCCACCACCACCACCACCACCACCGCCACCACCGCCACCACCGCCACCACCACCGCCACCACCGCCGCCACCACCACCACCTACACCACCAGCACCGCCACCCCCACCACCGCCACCACCGCCACCACTACCATCACCACCGCCACCCCCACCACCGCCACCACCACCACTACCACCACCACCGCCACCACCACCACCGCCACCGCCACCACCACCGCCACCACCGCCACCACCATCAGCACCGCCACCCCCACCACCGCCACCACCGCCACCACTACCATCACCACCGCCACCCCCACCACCGCCACCACCACCACTACCACCGCCACCACCACCACCAGCATCTGGCACGCAGTGGCGGTGACATCACCACAGCGCGTGGGCCAGGCTGGGTGCAACTTGAGGAAAAGTGTAAACAACAACAACAAAGACAAAGATCCCCCGTATAGCCTGAACAGACTGTCGGGGCAAGTGCCGTTAGCGAGCGGCACCTGTGAAGGCCGGCACGGCACACGAGGGGGTGGGTGGCCAGCACCTCGCCCGGGCCGCCTTTGTCTCCCCCAGTGGCGACGTTCACACGCCTCACCGAGGAGTACCCATTTGAGGCCGAGTCGACGTAGGGGGAGGGAGAGAGTGAGGTGGGTGGGGAGGGTGAGGTGGCGGCCCAGGACCGGTTCAGAGACTCGCCACGCCGGGTGCTGGCTGGGTGGCTGCTGGTGCTCGTGATTGTTCCACCACAATCGCTGCCAACGCCCAGCTTAGTGTACACGCCTCGTGCGGGCGACTGTAGCAGGGGCGGCCACGCACGCCCACCCGGTCCACGTGACTCCCACGTGACTCCCACGCGTCACGCGCCACCAGGGGCCACGTGTCTAACTCGGCACGGGTGACGTTGCGTAACGCTGCTGATGAGACGCTGCAGTGTGGAAAACCGGTGCAGAGTTTGTGCCTGTGTTGAAGAGATGGTTCAAGCGAGCCTGACACTGCTGATGAGACGCTGCAGTGAGGAAATCGGTACAGAGTTTGTGCCTTGTTTGAACCAATAATTCTAGCTCGCAATATGTTGCAGCACTGCTCCCCATTCATACAACACTCACCACACACACACTCACCACACACACACTCACCACACACTCACCACACACACTCACCACACACTCACCACACACACACTCACCACACACACACTCTCCACACACACACTCACCACACACACACTCACCACACACACTCACCACACACACTCACCACACACACTCACCACACACACACACACCACACACACTCACCACACACACACTCACCACACACACACTCACCACACACACACTCACCACACACACACTCACCACACACACTCACCACACACACACTCACCACACACACACTCACCACACACACACTCACCACACACACACTCACCACACACACACTCACCACACACACTCACTCACCACACTCACTCACCACACACACACTCACCACACACTCACCACACACACTCACCACACACTCACCACACACACACTCAGCACACACACACTCACCACACACACACTCACCACACACACACTCACCACACACTCACCACACACACACTCACCACACCCTCACCACACACACACTCACCACACACACACTCACCACACACACTCACCACATACACACTCACCACATACACACTCACCACACACACACTCACCACACTCACCACACACACACTCACCACACACACACTCACCACACACACACTCACCACACACACACTCACCACACACACTCACCACACACTCACCACACACACTCACCACACACACACTCACCACACACACTCACTCACCACACTCACTCACCACACACACTCACCACACTCACACTCACTCACTCACCACACACACTCACCACACACACACTCACCACACACACACTCACCACACACTCACCACACACTCACCACACACACACTCACCACACACACTCACCACACACACACTCACCACACACACACTCACCACACACACACTCACCACACACACACTCACTCACCACACTCACTCACCACACACACACTCACCACACACTCACTCACCACACACACACTCACCACACACACACTCACCACACACACACTCACCACACACTCACCACACACACTCACCACACACTCACCACACACACACTCACCACACACACACTCACCACACACACACTCACCACACACTCACCACACACACACTCACCACACACACTCACCACACACTCACCACACACACTCATCACACACACAGTCACCACACACACACTCACCACACACACACTCACCACACACACACTCACCACACACACTCACTCACCACACTCACCACACACTCACTCACCACACACACACTCACCACACACACACTCACCACACACACACTCACCACACACTCACCACACACACTCACCACACACTCACCACACACACACTCACCACACACACACTCACCACACACTCACCACACACACACTCACCACACACACACTCACCACACACTCACCACACACTCACCACACACACACTCACCACACCCTCACCACACACACACTCACCACACACACACTCACCAGACACACTCACCACATACACACTCACCACACACACTCACCACACACACACTCACCACACTCACCACACACACACTCACCACACACACACTCACCACACACACTCACCACACACACACTCACCACACACACTCACCACACACTCACCACACACACTCACCACACACACACTCACCACACACACTCACTCACCACACTCACTCACCACACACACTCACTCACTCACCACACACACTCACCACACACACACTCACCACACACACACACACCACACACTCACCACACACTCACCACACACACACTCACCACACACACACTCACTCACCACACTCACTCACCACACACACACTCACCACACACTCACTCACCACACACACACTCACCACACACTCACCACACACACACTCACCACACACTCACCACACACACTCACCACACACCACACACACACTCACCACACACACACTCACCACACACACACTCACCACACACTCACCACACACACACTCACCACACACACACTCACCACACACTCACCACACACACACTCACCACACACTCACCACACACACACTCACCACACACACACTCACCACACACACACTCACCACACACACTCACCACACTCACCACACTCACCACACACACACTCACCACACACACTCACCACACACACACTCACCACACACACACTTACCACACACACTCACTCACCACACTCACTCACCACACACACTCACTTACCACACACACACTCACACTCACTCACTCACCACACACACTCACCACACACACACTCACACACACACACTCGCTCACCACACACACACTCACTCACCACACACACTCACCACACTCACTCACTCACTCACCACACACACACTCACACTCACTCACCACACACTCACTAACTCACTCACCACACACACACTCACTCACCACACACACACTCACTCACCACACTCACTCACCACACTCACTCATTCACCACACACACACTCACTCACCACACACACACTCACTCACCACACACACACTCACCACACACACACACTCACTCACCACACACACACACACTCACTCACCACACACACACTCACCACACACACTCACTCACCACACACACGCTCACTCACCACACACACTCACCACACACACACTCACCACACACACACTCACTCACCACACACACTCACTCACCACACACACACTCACACACACTCACTCACCACACACTCACTCACTCACAACACACACACACTCACCACACACACACTCACTCACCACACACACTCACCACACTCACTCACCACACACACACTCACCACACACACACTCACCACATACACACACACTCACTCACCACACACTCACTCACCACACACACACTCACCACACACTCACTCACCACACACACACTCACACTCACTCACTCACCACACACACATTCACTCATCACACACACTCACCACACTCACTCACCACACACACACACTCACTCACCACACACACACTCACCACACACAGACTCACCACACACACACTCACCACACACACACTCACTCACCACACACTCACTCACCACACACACTCACCACACACACACTCACCACACACGCACTCACCACACACACACTCACTCACCACATACACACTCACCACACACACACTCACCACACACACACACCACACACACACACTCACCACACACACACTCACCACACACACACTCACCACACACTCACCACACACTCACTCACCACACACTCACACTCACCACACTCTCACACACTCACCACACACACTCACCACACACTCACTCACCACACTCACCACGCACACTCTAATACAACACACAGACGCACACTCTTACGTAACACACACACACACACTCACCACACACACTCACCACACACACACTCACCACACACACACTCACCACACTCACTCACCACACACACTCACCACACACTCACTCACCACACACACACTCACCACACACACACTCACCACACACACACTCACCACACACTCACCACACACACTCACCACACACTCACCACACACACACTCACCACACACACACTCACCAAACACTCACCACACACACACTCACCACACACTCACCACA